CCAGCCAACGGGAGCAGCAGGGAAAGTCTCCAGTGAGCCGTTTCCTATGCTGCTGTTCCCCCAGCTGACTTGCGCCCCCCTCCCGGCTTGCCCCTCTCCCCCGCTGGGAAGCCGGCGCTGGCGCCCCAACATCATGGAGGGGGGCAGGGCTGGAGCGTCCACGCAGGCTCTCTGCTCCGGGGGTGAGCCCACGGTGCTCCACAGACCCCACTTGGAGAGCCACGGGTCCAGATGAACAAGCCTTCCTGGGTCGGGCAAGGAGGAGCCGGGCGAGAAGTCCCTGCCACGTCAGACTCCTCGAGCAGCCCGCCCCCCGGAGCCCCAGCGTGTGCTTCCCTCCTGCGCCGGCACCTGGGAGCCAGCCTTCCCCACGGGGCTGCTCCGCCGGGATTCCAACCCGCCCGTCTCTTGGCAGGAGCACGTCCAGCACGGCCGGGAGGTCCACGTGGTGCTGGGCAACGAGGCCTGCGACCTGGACTCCACGGTGTCGGCGCTCGCCCTGGCGTATTACTTGGCACAGGTGAGCTGGGAGCGCTGCTTGGGCTGGGTGGAGTTAACCGGGGGATCTCTCCGTGCACGGGGAGGCCCCCGGGTTGGCCCTGAGGCCGTGGTGCGGTGCCTGGACTCCCCCGTGCCACACACGCCGTATCCAAGGCCAGTTGCTAACTGGCCCTCTGGGTGGCTGTGTTCTCCTGCAGACCTCTGTGCAGTCCAAGGCGGCGTTCCTCCCTGTGCTGAACATCCCCCGCGCGGAGTTCCCCCTGCGCACAGAGAGCACTTTTCTCCTGCGGGAGCAGCAGATCCCTGACCGCTGCCTGATCTTCCGGGACGAGGTCGACCTGCATGCGCTGCACCGGGCTGGCCTCCTCTCCTTGACTCTGGTCGACCACCACATGCTGCCAAGGCAAGGGGAGAGGCGGAGCAGAGGGTTTAGGAGACCGGGGCGGGGCGTGCGCTAACTCTGGTTCTGCCACTGAGCTACTCGGTGACCATGGGCAAGTCACTTCACCTCTCTGTGCCTCAGTTTCCCCATCTGTGAAGTGAAGCTGAAGACACAGAGACGCTTTTGGAAGTGCTTTAAGATATCTAGATGGAAGACACACTAGGGCAGCTAGGGGGTGTTGTTAAATCGCAGGTGAGGGGAGAGTGGGGGCTCCAGCTAGGATGGGAGGAGGGGGGCGCTGTTGACCCTTGTTTTGGGGTATGGAAGAGAAATTGCGGAGGGAAACACCGGGGGATGAAAGCAGCCCTTGCCCGCCGGTGCCGCTACTCACTTCCCCATCTCTCCCACCCAGCGGAGACGCAGCCCTGGAGGAGGCTGTGGTCGAGGTGATCGACCATCGGCCCCTGGAGCGGGAGCCTGGGTGCAGCGTCACCGCGGAGCTGGTGGGTTCCTGCGCCACGCTGGTGACGGAGAGGATCCTGCGGGGCCCGCCGGAGCTGTTGGACAGACAGACGGCTGCGCTGCTGCACGGTGAGGGCAAAGCTAGCCAGGGTCGATCCCCAGGGTGGGGTGCAGCGTTCTGGGGAGGAGACTCAGACCTCAGGCCCCCGTGCCAGGCTGTGTCCTGCTGGCTGTAAATCCAACCCCTCAGCCTGACGTCCAAGGCCAGTGTACGGCAGCATGGCTTTGCCTAGGGATATACCCCACCGCATTGCCTGGTCTTTAGACCAGGCCTGGGCAAAATACGGCCCACGGGCCAGATCCGACTGGCAAGCCACCGGATCCAGCCTGCAGAGGCAGCGGAGAGCCCCAGGCAGGCTCCCCCGCTCGCCCCGCTCACCGTGCAGAAACACGGCTGCAGGGCTCTGTTTCTGATTTTAAACAGGAGGGAGGGGGGTTTCAAAACTGGAGTGGAGCGAGGAAGCTTCAGGAGTCACTCCTGCCCCCAATGGGAGCATGTTTGAATACCAGGCAGCTAAGAAGAACCACGCCCCCTCTTCTGCGCTCAGTTATTCATGAAGCACATGGCCAGGCAGGCTGGCTAGGAAATGTGTTAAGCTCTGCAGGCAGGCTGGCTAGTTTGGCAGCTGGCAAGGAAGTCTCTTGGCCACAGCCTGCTTCTGGCACCCCAGCCCTTTCTCCCCCCCTCCACTCAAACACACCCACACCCTCTGTCCCCTTCTTACAC